CCAACCCAAATCTACAAACTAGTATAGGTGTATAATTTATTTTTAAATAGCAGACTTAATTTTCTGCTAGAATAAGAAGCTATTTATGCTACTTTCTTGTTTTCATGTATATGAATCACAGCAAAAAAGTTTTTCTGGAGGTCCATAACTCTTTACATTTAGTAAGTACTTATAGCAAAAATATCGAAGGAGATACAGTTTTCAGAAAATCAGCACAATACTTAATATAGTATATGGTATAATTACTAAAAAACAATGAAGAAATTTATTTAGTCCTTAGTTGGTCTGGTAGTTCTTTAATTCGTCAGTGAAGGTGCTGACATTTAAAAAATTTTAATATGTAATATAAGGTTATTAGTAGAGCTATCATGAAATTCTTATTAATTATTAAAATTCATATAAACTTTATATTGAAAAATAATTCAAAATAATATCAAGTTTATATAAAGCACTATTTAGACTTCTCAAGTCAACTGCTGAGCTTAAACACAACAAAATTACATTCAATTAGACATGTAAATGTAATTATAAATATTACTGGTATTAATTTTCGTAAGTGATTTTTCATATCTTCAACTTCATCCCAAACCTAACAATTTTATTTTTTACACAATTATTATTGAATAGTAGAAAAAAAAAATATTTGTTGTAGTCCCTCAATTCAAAAATACTTCAAAGCTTTGATGATTAAATCTAAAAATACATTTATATATTTAAATTGTTTATATAAATCTTGGTTGGTTGAATGGCAGACCAACAAATATCCTTCCATAGCTCAAAATTCGCGCTTATTTGTCGTTTTACTACCACATTCCTCGCAAGAAACCTAAAGAGATAAAAAGTAGATCCATCTTAATCAGTACAAATTTGTGATTAATTTTCATACAACACATCTAAGATTACTCTATTGTGGTGTTTAATAACACCCTGCTTAATCCCTGAAACAGTTTTACCCAATAATGACTGGCATCACTTGAACGATCTAGTGGAATGTACATATTTCATTAATATAGAATATTAAGTAATCTAAATGAATTTAAATGACTCTTTCCGACATAGCATAGATTGCTTTTGTTTAAGGGTGTGTAATATCTTTGATTTTTTAATGCTTTCGACTTTTAAGTCTTTTTGTATAGGTATATTCATTTCTGACATACTAAGATTACTACGAAGATATAAAAAAAAATTATATAAAAATAATATTAATTGAATAGACACATCATGAACAGAATACAGTTAAATTACATAAATATAAATTAAGTTTAAATAACAAATTAGAAACATAACTATATAAAAAAATGTATGTAACACGTACACATATATATAAATTATTTATGAACTAAAAGATAACACATGCAAAGCATTCTCGATTCTTGACCAATTCCATAAAAGTTTAGTATTTTTTTTATTTATTTATTTAAGTAAATTATTCAATGCTTAATTGTCGTAATATGTATATTTATATATATATAATTAATTGTTGAAATATTAAATTAGAAACATAATTTTTTAAACAACCCACAATAATATTTAAAAATCCATATATAAAAATTATTATTAACAGACAATTAAACATAAATAATTACTATAAATTTGCATAAATATTTTTAATATTTTATATATATATATATAAATAGAGAATGAGATTTATTATTTAAATAAAAACATTCATATTTCTTCGATTAGCAATTTTTGTTCAAAATATTATGTAGGATTTTTAATATTATTTTGAAATTTTTAGTTTTTAATTTTATTTGAAAGATTTTTGGAATTTTAATTTACAAAACATGAAGATTAAAATTAATTATTAAAATTAAATTGTTTTAGTTAACTTGGCCTTTGGTTAGTTTTTATATATTTTATTATTATATAGCAAATAAAATTATTTAATGAATAGAAATTATATGTTTATATTATATATATATTTTTTTTCTATATATATAAAATTAAAATTAATGTATAATATTATAAAATATTATTATTTACTTTTAATGCACATATACTTAAAAAATATTTATTAAAAATATATTGAATAGCAAAATTTAATATGTGCTTTTTTAGTGACTTTTTTTATAACTATATTAAAGTTAATTATTTTTAATATTATTTAATATGTGCAAGTGTTTTTAAGCAAACAAGATTCTAATATAAATTTTTATTATTATTTTAAATTTAAATTTTTAATACATAGTGCACATACAGTTTGATTAATAATATGTTTTTTTTTTTTTGTTTACTTAATTAGTACACATAGAAATTTGTTTTTAATATATTTTTAATATAAGACTCATTTTTCTTTAAATAAATTTATTTAAAAGAAAATTGCATAAAATTATTGACTTTTGTGTATTTACTTGCTAATAATTAATTGTTAATAATTGTAGTAATTAATAAAAAGTAAGTTTGAATGTATTTATTTATCTAAAGCTTTTAGTTCTTTTTATTATCGAAATATATACACAGTTGTTCTTGTTTATTTGTTGGAAAACTAATATGAGTAAATATAAAAGAATAAATAAAATTTATGATATATTGTTTAATATCTAATAGTAAAAAATGAAACTGTTTATGTTTTAAGAATTAATTTTTTTGTTTTTTTGTAGATGAATATATGAAATTATATACAGAATTTTTAAACTTGCATTAACAAAATTAACAAAATTAGAATACAGTATAAAATTCAATAAATTTCAATAAGTATTTTTTAATACACATATAAATATAATATATATATATTAAAAAAATTTTTCAGTATCAAAATATATATATTAAAAAAATTTTTCAGTATCAAAATATATATAAAGAAATAATAGCACATAGTTTCTATTAATTTAACAGGAACATCTGTATATAATATAAATGAAATGTAGTCTTTTTTTTTAAGTGTATTTGCATAAGGGTTTGTGCAAGTGTGTTGATGCTTATGTGTGTAGGTTTTGTATAAAAATGATTTTTTTTAATTGCAAGTGTACATTTGTTAAAATCTTAGAAATATATAGGTATACTATTTTAGAATATATATATGTATATAAAAAATTAAATTCTAAAAGTTTAAGAAGACAAATGCGATTAATTCTAGAGACTAGCATTTAACAGTTAATCTTCTATATTTTACATAATAGTTATAACATAGTTATTAACATAAGTCAATATTATTCGCTTAATATACCACAACCAATATTGTAAACACTTAAATTAGTTTAATTATAGCTATTTAGTTTAGAATTTTAAATAGAAATGTTAAAACATAAAACATTTGATCATTTTTGTTAAGAAAATTATTGGCTTATTATTAAGAATAGAAGCGATATGCTTTATTTAGATGAAAAATGCAAAAATTCATTATCAATTTATTATAATCAAGAAAATAACACATATATCCAACGATGTCTGTGACCAGCGTTGATTAGCCCTAGGTAGCAGTCCATTGTACATATGTTGAATCGATAATAGTGCCATTGTAGTTGTAATAAGATATATATTCAGTGATATATATATATATTATGTTATCATTTGATTAATTTTTAAATATTAGTAATATAATTTTAAATAAATTTGTACAATATTTAAAAATAAAATTAAATAAAGTAAAATAAAGTAAAGAAAAAGATACTGATCAATGAATAATTGTTAATATTGTTAAATAGTTAAAAAAAAAAAATTTAGTGAAAATGTAGTAATTATTTTTGTTAAGCGTTTATGAAATCTAATATAGAAATTTCTTAAATTTTTTTAGTGGAAAAAAATAATAGTAAAACGTTTCGATTTTAACAAAATCATTGATCTTTATTTTTTATTTAAAAAATTGCTTGTATACAAAAAGTTTAAATATTTTATATTTTACCTTAAGCTTAACCAACAAAATATGTTTTTAATTTATGCTATTGTAAAACAATAAAAAAACAATTTAACTGAATCAAAGTTTTGAGAATTTAACTAATTTCATATAAAAAAAATTCAAAACACTAAATGTATTATATATATTTAATTTAACACAGTAAAATTTTAAGAGTATTTGAATCAATATTTGATAAAAATAACACAATTCTTATCAATCAATTATCCAAAGTGTAAGATACTTAATAATATTAATGAACTCAAACACTCTTTCACATTTATTTTCTTTTTTTTTTAATTTTATTGTAAAAAGTTTTTAACATATTTTGCAAAGGCACAAGTCAACCTCGAAACAATTTTTATAATTTTGTAATTATTGCATTTTTTTTACATAACTTTATATATATATTTATCTTATAGTTTTACTATAAAAAAAAATTTTTAAATACATCTATTTTATTTATATATGAAAAATATATATTTATATTACAAATAAAGTAGAAGAAATATGTTGCATTCATTTAAATGAATTTATTTAAAATAATTTGTATCAATGTTGATAAAATTTTTTAATTTTACATTTATGTGTAAAATTTTACTGATATATAAAACGCAACTAACCTGTTTGAGCTGAAAAATTTTGCAAAAGTTAAAATCATTTCAAAAGTCAATCAATCGCAACTTCAATTATCAAAGCAACATTATCAGAGATTTTTGTATGTCAAGTCGGTTGAGGCAGGTAGGGGTTACAACTAAGCAGGCTGAGAAATTCTTTTATTATTTAAAAATATTATTTACAAAACCAATGCTTTGTTCCAAAATAAAGCTTAATAATAAGGATTTATTTAAATTTTGAAAAAATAAACTGTAGTTTCAAATAAAAAAAAAAAAATAAACACAACAGAGATTGTTTCCGTTTATATAATATGCTATATAAAAAAATTATCTATATATAAGTTATATAAACGTATAGAAGATTTAATAGTCATCGTCATCAATATTATAATAATAAAATTTTAACTTAATATTTGCATTTAAAAGAACTTTCTAATTACTTATAAGTTAAAGCAATTACTTTTTATATTATATATAAACCATTTAGAAATATTATATATATTTGTTTATATATATAAATATATATTATCTATATTATATTTAATTGCCTTAATATTATAATGCTTCAATTATGAATTGATATATATATGGTATATATAAAAAATTTTTAATTTTATTGAATTTCAATAAAACCTGGCTTAGTTGGCACCCCAACCGCAGCTCTCTGATATGGATGTTCTCGATTAGCCAAACGTCTTTGTTGTTTTATAGCCCCTACTAAAATATTTAAATTTTATTATAATTTTTATGTTACAGAAAACATTGTTTTTTAAGTATATATATAGATATATTAAAATTTTGTTTCACAACATCATATTCAAACATATTATCTACAACTAATTACAGCTAGAAAAATGCTAACATTTAATTGACAAAAAAAAAAAAACTAAAACGGCAAATATTTAAAAAAAAGTTGTTTTTTAAATATAAAAAACATGTATGTATATATATATATTATATACAAATATATAGAAGGTAAAAACTTTACGAATACCAACAACAAAAACAAAATAATATGAGAGTTTCACTGAGACTACACTGAAAAAAAAACTACAAAAAGTTTATATAGCAGTTCATAAAGCAAATAAATAAATTATTTTCTATTTTAATGTTTTTACATAAATTTGATTTTACGTTTGATCTTATGCCAATAAAATTATTTAGTTTATTTTTTATTTAATATATATTTTTTTATTATTATAATCGATTGCTTCTTTGGAATGAATCGTATATGCATGTACTGTAACTGGAGTATTGTTTGTTTTTATAATTTCGTTTATAATTGTATTTAAAGTTTTTATTAACGACTATTTTCGTTACATATTTTTCTTAAAATAACACGAAAAAACTAATTTTTACATTAAAAATAAGTGATTTTTAACATAATTTTAAAAGCATTAAAATAATATTTTTATTATATACAAATATTTTACTAATTGTTTACTTATATGAAGCTAAATGCACAAAGGCCTGCTTTTTAAATACTTAAAATAAATTATTTTAGTAAGCATAACTAAAATAAAAACATATAAGAAATAAAATAAGGTCTTAGTAAAGTAAAATCTTTTTAAAAATGTGACAAATAATGCATATAAATTTAAAAAAATTATATATAAAACATAATCTTCTTAGATAAACACAAAAATAAAATATTGCACTTCATTTACCAATTAATATACCAGTATTTTATACATTGATATTAAAAGAAAACAAACAGTTTATAAAAAAATTAATATTATTTACGTTGTTCAAAGCTTACGTAAATCAAATAAAAAACCATTAGTTAATTTTATTTTTTTAATTTATTTTAGGTACAGTTATTAACTATATAAACGTATCGATATTACTAATAGTTTTTTTATCATTTACTTAAGCCTTTGACATCAAAAATAATATTAGAAACTATTATATGAATATAAATGTTGTGTAAAAAAAAGTTAACAGTATTTTAAAATTATATATAAAATATACGTTTGTAATAAAAAATAAAATATACAACAATTACAAACTAAAATACTTAAAAACACTTCAAAATTTATTTATATACATAATATATTTAAAAATAAATTCAGAATATAATAATTTTTTATTTTCAACTTATTATGAATACATTAAGAAGCATTTAAAATAATAATACAAATTTTAATGTTAAAATAAAAATAAGGACACTATTTCACTTATACATATTTAATACACATACATAAAATAAACAAAGAAACAACATAATTTGACTATTTTAGTAAACATATTTTTAAATCATAAAAATATATAATTAAAAACTAAGTAAAAAATTAAAAGTATGAAATAAAAATAAAAATAAAAAAAAAAAATTTATCAAATTATGTAATAAATAAAAATTAAAAAAAAAAAATTTATCAAATTATGTAATAAATAAAAATTAAAAAAAAACATTTATCAAATTATGTAATAAATAAAAATTATAATAACAAAAAAAAATTTAAATAATTAAAAAACTTTTATTAAAATAAAATTTATTATTAAAATAATAAAAAAATAATAAACAAAAATTAAAATTCATAAAAATTAGTGTATATATATATAAAAAATTAAAATATGCAAAAAGTAAAATAAATAATATGTATAATAAATAAAAATTAAAAAATGAAGTGAATTTTAAAAAAATTTATAAAAATATTAAAAACTTAATCAATTAACAAATAATCACACAAAATAAATGAAAATGAAACCAAATTAAAACAAAAAAGTAATCAGAAATTAAAAAAAAATAAAAAAAATAAAAAATATAATAAATAAAGTAAACATAAAAAAATAAATTAATTCAAACAAATAAAAAAATTTTAAATTTATAAATTAATATATTAAGTCATTATTGGTTGCTTAACCAAAATAAGAAATTATTTATAAAAAATAATTAATAAAATAAAATTAATTCATAAAAATATATAATTAAAATAAATTAATTAATTAAAATAAATGAAACTTGATATGAATAGAACAAAATGAAAATGCAAATAAAAATAAATAAATATTAAAAATAAAAAATGAATAAATTATAATAAAAGAAAAAGCAAAATAAATAAATAAGGTTGTATTAAAGTTAAACAAATTTGAATTTAAACAAATAAATTAAAATAAATAAAAAAATACGTATTTATAAAAAAATCAAATATAAAAATATAAAAACAAATAAAATAAATAAACAAAAAAAATATAAAGTATAATTACAAAATAAATTACATATTATAGTAGCAGTAAGCAACAAATAAATAAATGTTTTATTTGTTATTATAAAAGTTTACATTAAAATTAATTTTATTTATAACTGTAAATGAACTAAAATAAATAATAAAAAATTAAAAACAAAATATTAAAAATAAAGGTATAATTCAAACAAATATATAATAATTTAAAAAAAATTAAAAAAAAGATATATATTTCAATAAAAATATAATACAAAACCTATAAACTAAGATTTTTAATAAAATATTTACTTATTTTTCAACTAAATTTTAACCAAAGTGTTGTTTTATAATTAAACCTGTACTATTGAACCATAAATTCTGTGCTATTAATTTTAAGTTTTGCAAAAATATTTTCATGTATTAAATATATATATTTTTAAAAATATAGTATTTGATTATCTTAAAAATTGGACGGAATTAGGTGAGCTTTGAAATTATTTTACAATATTTTTTCTATATCATTTTGAGTTTATAAATATTTTACCAAAAAATTTGTCTTAATTTTTATTTTTATAAAATAACATTAAATTTTAAATTAAAATATTTTATTTTAGCACCATTACGATTCAACGCAAATACCTTAAAGGTTAATTATTTTTAGATTTCAATTTGCATATATTAAATTATATACTTAAACAATTATTTTATTGTGATAAAAATAATACTTAATATTAGAATATTTATAACTATTGATTTATATTCTTATAATATAAGATTATCTATTATCAAAGTTTAATTTAAAAATTTTCACTTCGATATTTATAATATTAGTATTCGTATAATATTTTTTATATATTATACAGAAATTTTATAAATTCAAACTTGTCTCATAAAAACAATAATAATTACTTTTTTGTAATAAATTCTTATAGATTGCAATTATCATTAAAATAGCATATACATACATATATATATATATATATATAAATTATAAATAAAATATAAATTTTTATATAAAATATAATATAAAAAATATAATATAATAAATAATATAATATATAATATAAAATATAATAAATAATAATATAATATAATATATAATATAATATATAATATAATATATAATATAATATATATATTTATATAGAACTAAATTAAAATAAATAAAGAAAAAAAATCGTAAAGATGGCACAGTACGGAAAAATACAAACAACGGGAAATAAAAAACATGTCTAATTTGTTATATTTTTAACAGAGTATTTATTATAAATAATAACAGAGCAAGTTTCGAAGATATATCAAAGGAAAAAAAATTATATTAATAACAGAAAACTTCTCTAATAAAATTCTACTGTGTCTGTATTTATATATTATATTATAAATTTTCTAACAAAAATTAGTTAGGCTGTATATAATATTGTTATGAAACAACTTTAAAGAATTAAATATCTTTTTCAAGATATTTTATAACGCCTCTGACTCTGAGGTTGATGATGATTGTGCTTCATATGTGCTTTATCACTGTCCAGCCGATAGGCAACATAAATTGAACATACTAACGAGCTACATTTTAAGGAATTTTAGTCAGCTATATGCACTCTCTAATATGTACAGCTAATGTAAAAAAAGATAGATATGGAAGAGGTAAGTTTTCTGTATTTAAAGTTTTATAACGTTTCTTGTATTTCATATATTATAATCTGGTTTTAAACATTATATACTATTTAGATCCTCCAGTTTTACAATCTAAAAAATCAAATGGGCTAATAGACGTAACTAGATCATAGGAGCACTGTTATTATATGTACTCAAATACTGTATATTGAGTCTAATTTGATATATCTTCTGTGCTGATATAAAATATGTTTTGCAACATAACTAAGAAATCTAGTATAGGCGATACAAGTCTAAAATTGAAATTGAATTAATATTGTATTAATAAACTAGTTAAAAAATAATGAAAACCAACACCAATAGACAAATAGTTTACTCAAAAGTAAAACTTTTTATGTTAAACTTTTGTTTTAAAATTAAAGAACATTAATTTAAAAATACTTTAAAGATTTTCTATTTATTACTGACGATTTGTAAACTAGATTATACTCATTTTTATGTTTCTGAAAATAGTAAAATATATAAAAATTTAGTTTTAGAGTTTAAACAACTATCGGTAACTTAGCATTGCATATTATTACATGCAATAATATAATTTAAATAATTATATAAGAAAATATTTATATAGCATAAAGCGTAACGCAAGTTAAAAATCACTTATTTTTGTAAAGATGTCTAATGTTGCACTTAAATATTAAATTTATAAAAGAAAAACATATACGTTTTGTTTTAAAATGTTTAACTCTTATTTTTAGAGCAATATTTGTATACTTTATATATATCAAATATATATAATTTAAGTAAGCAAGTATTTGTATATAAATTTATTGTAATTTATCTCTTTGAGTATTTTATGTAATTTTTTTAAATGTGTATAAATTTGTTTTTTATTTATTTATTTTTACACTTTAACTAAAGCTAACATATTTATTTTATATCTCTTAAAATAAAAAATTTTTAATATGTTCTATCATAAATTCAAAAGACGGAGCCGGCATGCAAATATCGACCAACTGTAAGATATTTTTGTATTGTACACAAAAAAAAAATAAATAAAAGAACATAAAAAATTAATTATATATTTTAAACAATAAAAAAAATAACGTGAGTATGTTTGATTATTTTGTTACTTAACGATATTGATTTGTTTGTTTATTTCTTTAATATGTTTTTAATTTTTTTTAGTATTATTAAAAATTAGATTCTATCATCTTGAAGCATTAAGCGATGATTTATTTGTATGTATTTTATTAGGTTTAAAGTTTACGTGTAAATTGCACTGTTAAATAAAAAATAAAATTATATATTATTTATGATTTTAAGAAAAAAATACAATTAATGAATAGATTTATATACTGTTAATAAGTGGAGAAGAAAAGTAATGGGGAAAAAAGATAAAACTATATATAAAATCAATAAAATCAATAAATATATATATAATTAATTATATACACATTTATATTTAATTAAATATAAATATAAATATAATTAAGTGCAAATATAAATATAATTAAATATAAATGTATATAAAATTATATATAAATGTATTAATAAATTAATTATAAATATATATATAATTAAATAGAAATATATATATAATTAAATATAAATATTACGAAACATACTAGGTACAAATTTAAAAATACAAATAAAGTTATATACATAGTTGCCCCACCACAGACAAGTGAAATAACACTAATAATTAAAGCAAATATAAATCAGAATAATTTATCTATATTGAAAATAAAATATCTCAATTATAAAAGAAAGAAAGATACAATAAATAAGATAAACACTTAAAAAAATTAATTTCAATTATTAAATCTTAAATATAAATCATAATCATTCTATCTATACAGTACTGCGAATAAAATATCTTAATTGAAAGAAGAAAAAAATAAAATCAAAATAAAAATAATAACATAATGGAAAGAAATAAAAAAAAAACAAAATCACAACAGCGCGAAAAATTTATTTATAAAAAATGATACAATCAATCCACTTTAATGGTGCATATCCATTCGTACGATGAATGAAGTTATTGAAGAAAACATTTCCACTAAAGGTTGTTTTTCAAACATGGATCTTAGAAGACAGACAGTTTATGAATAGCCTTACATCTTTATCTTTTATCTTTATTTTATATATACAAAATAAACTTGATTTTATAGTTAAATTCAAATAAATAAATCAAATTTATATTTATTTAAGCTTGAATTTAAATTTAAGGATAGATATTTTATATACCTAAATATCGTTGATCGATTTAGTAGCCATTATGAACAAAATACGCATCCATCATCACATGATTTGTTTCAAAAAACTAATATTTTTGAAAAACAGGATCGTCAATACTTTTTCTATATTTTGAAAAGTTATTAATTTTCTTATATTAATGGAGTGCATCAAAATTGCTGACAAAACATGGGCTTATGAGTATGACACGAAAGCATATCAAAAATGATTGGATTGCTAAAACTGCAGAGTTGCACAAACCCACACTACAACATCGAATACAGAATAATTGCGAACCAGACTTGGGTCTAAAAATTTAATGTGCAAAGAAATCAAAAGTTATCAAAACAAATCAGAAATGTTAAAACTGCAGTCCGACAAACCCACAATATAGCATCAACTGCAGAATATTTGCAGACCAGACTTAGCTATGAAAATATGAAATAAACCTAAATTAAGCCAGATTTAATAAAACTAGTAATCTTTAAGGAATGGTCCAATTTTGATCTCACATTTATAGATTACATCATTACTGACTAGACCGGAGTCCATGGGTTTGATATGCAAACAAATCAAATAAATGTGATGATTTTTAATCATTATTTAGTACTAGACGTTTGTTACATACTAAATTACAGCTCATATGGAAAATAATATATACGGAATTAAAGAATTTAATTAATAAACGTCATCAATCAATTACCAAATATTATGGTAAAAAATTTCACCGAAAATGTTTTTTTTTTAATAAAGTTAAATTATATTATCTGTACATACAATTAAGATATTTTATTTATACTTTTAGATTATGAGATATTAAAACCAGCAAAATGATAAAAACAAATAAAAAAAGTATATTCATAAATATTATATTATATATTAAAAATTCAAATGTTTTAAATAAAAACATAACACAAAACTTATTAAATTAAAATTACATTAAAAACAAAAATAAAAAATAAAAAAAAAATAAGAAATAAAAAAATAATAATAATAATAAAAATAATGATAATAAAAATAGTAATAATAAAAATAATAATAATAATAATAAAAATAATAATAATAAAATATATTTAAAAATGCAAAACAAAAAACTAAAATAGAAATAAAATATTTTAATAATGATGAAATAGCAACAAATACATTCTAATAAGTAATAAATATATATTTACATTTATAACTAAAACTAATATCAAAACACAATACTTAAAATTTTTAAAAATGAATAAAATAAATTTTTCTAAATTAATAAATGTTTTTAGATATGGGAATATCTAATATTACAACATCCCGACTATAAAACCAGAAGCTTAAAATAATGAGTTTATATAGGATTTGTAAAAAATAAATATTAAAAAATTTGGAAAAGACTGAAATATGTGTGGATATTTGATGTGTGACAAATAAAGTATATAATATAATTTATGTATTAATGAAAGTAATTATTAAGAATATGTAGTTATTTTTAAGAAAATTATATTAATGCATATAAGTAGGAGTGAGAATGTTGTCAAAATAAAGAAATTATTAATTGTTTTTAATAGAATTATTGGCACATGAAAAAGCCTTAATATTATTAAATTAATCTCATTTTTGTTACATTAATAAAATATATAGCAGACTCAAAAATATAATAAGTAACACATCATTAACATTGAAAAATACTATTCAACAATGAATTTATATATTTAAAAATGTACTAAACTCAAAATGCAAACCCGGTATTTTATATATAGTATCAACACTACATATACTAATTTAATAAATACTAGTTACTTTTATAGATTTACATTTTCAACATCTACTAAATATTATTTTTGAGTCACTATTATTTACTAAATTAATTTCTTATATGAAATTTTTAAAAAATATAAAAAAAATTAGAAAAAAATTGATATTAATTTTTTTTTTTTATTTAAATTTAAAATAACCCACCGCTATGATCTGCATATTCCGTCAACAAAGGATTTCCAGTGAGTGCTGCGTAATTTGTATAATCTCCGTAAGGAGCAAAAATCATGCCGGTATTTTCAAAAGCAGCAGCAGGAGCACCTTGACCAGCTGATAATATACTGGGCGCAGTTGTTGGCACTGTCATACGTTGCGATAGAATCAATGGCGCTCCCAATGGAGCGGCTGTTGGTGCACGAATCGGTTGTGCAAGTCCAGGCAATGCTGGTGTCAGCAAACGAGTTTCAGCGCCAGAAGCAGCAATAACACGACGCCATTCCTCTTCGCAGGCTGTAAGCAAAACAAAAAAATATGTTTACCATTTTAGTATATATTTGTGTATATTATAGAACTTAATACAATAATAGTAAAATATATGTACATAGAAAGTAAAAAAGTGACAATATATTTATATACATAATATATTCTAGGATATTATATACATAACCTAAAGTTTGGGTTTTTATATTTTATTTTTTTTTTATTAATTTATATGTAATAATATACTATAAAATCAAAAAAACTAATCTGTGTCCTTATTTTCCATTAAAAAAAAGGACATTTCATCAGTAGAATAAACTAGATTACTAGCAGTTTACTTGATGGGATACCTTCGACTGTTTTATCATCCCAACAAGATAAGACTACTATATACAACAATATACCGTCTTTGATTAGAAGTGAATAAAATTACTAGTCAAATTGATTTTTCTGTTTTCATGGGCTTTAGCCTCACTTGCACTATACATCGCCAGATAAGCCCTCAATTAGAACTTTCAGTTTAATCACCATTCAGAAACACTATTTAAATTGTGGAGAATAATTATCGACATCGAAATTACCGTCGCACAATATACGCAGAATAACACCAGTTATACAGCTATAAATATAACAAGATTAAAAAAGATTGGTAACCCTATATTAGACAATGTTAATCTGTATATAGTTAATCTGAAATAAGCAAATAATTTCAGGTACAGCGTGGAATAATATCGACTATAAAACTATTGATATAATGAGATTAAAAAGAAGTGGTGGAAGGCTTATACTCTACATAGAGATAGTAGAATGAAGAAAAATTTTCAATCTTTAACTCCTATACTCCTCAAGAAATTAATATAATAAAGAAAAATTTTTTACATATATGTTAAACAACATCAGTTATATAGCTACTAATATAATGAAATTAAACAAAGTATTCGAAGCTCTATATTCTACAGATTTAATAGAATAAAGAAGAATTTTTTCGTGTGGAGGTCCTATACTAATAAGGAAGAAGACTATTTTAAGTTTAACTGTTGTTATTGTTGTTACAGTCTAGATAATGCATTCATTCTTAAGAAAACCAACTTCTTTCGAAATAGTTTAATTTTAAAGATATGCATGTATATAAATATATTTAAATATTGATAAACACATTACAAAAAAAGAAAATATCTCTGTTCCCTGGTATTTTTTTAATGAGTTCAGTTCAGTATAATGATTAACAGAACAAGCACTTGTAAGAAACCTAATTGAATTCCAAAGACAAGACAGACCTAGAAAGAGGTGGCTAGATAATGCTAAAGAAGATTTAATCAAGTTACACGTGAGCAATTGGAAAAACTTGCCATCGAATCGAGTCAGATAGCAAAAATTGGTTGAGGGAGCACTAGTCTTCCCAGGACTGTTATGCTAAGAAAATGAAGTTCAGTCTAATATGGTTAATCAAAATTCATCTGTGTGTCGTTTTCTTAATACCTTTTTTATTTATAATAATAAACTGTTTGTAGTCATACTAGTTTGAAATGAATATAGATATATAGAAATGTATATGAAAAACTAGGTGATATAATATTTATACTAAATCAATAAATAATATTTTGTCACTTTATTTTATATATTTAATTATTATTATTTGTATTTATATTTCAGTAATTGCATTAATTTAATAAGTTAGACAATTAATTTATTAACAAATTATTGTTTATTATAAATCGAATATGTGAGGAATTTCGTTTTAATATAAATTAGCTCATTTGGCAGTAATAATATTATTAAAATGATTAACAAATTGTTAACGTACCTGCAGCGACCGATTTCGCTGTTGTGTCCCTATAGGTTCCGTTAATTATAGCTAATTCCATAAGTTGACGTTTTTTAAGTTCATCTTCGCCTTCAGCTTGCTGTTAGTATACATATTTATATATGATGTTTTCAGTATTTAATATAGTTTAATATGTATTAAAAAAAAAAGACATAAAATTAATAACTTTATAGAACATATTTATTAATATTGTTTTTTTTTATTTTTGATTATATATTAAATATATTAATAAGGCGCGCAAATTTGTTGATTAGATACATATTAAATTATTTACTTATCAACGCATTTTATACAAATTTTTTGTTTTTGTATTCTTAGCCTTTGGTTCTGTTCCAAATTTTTAAATGTATAAATAATTTTTTATGATTGGATTAATATCTTCAAAGAGGGAAGTAATATTATTTTAGAGCAGCATTAATGTGAAAAAAATGAAAAATATTTTAACTTTTGAATTTGTTAGATTTTTATAATAATTTAATAATACTTTGAAAAAAATTTATACTCACCGGTACGAGTAGCTTCTGTACTTCGGCAACTGCCTGAGCCAACTTAACTTTGGCACGATTTTCTGTATCTTCAACGGTTATCAAAACATGCAGCTCATCTGATAAATGTTCCCAATTGGGCTTACCTCGATTTGCATCTTCCTGCAATAAATAATAATATATTTAGCATAAAATAATTTCAATAAATGAAACATTATTAATGTGGAAATAATTTTAAATGGAGAAAAACTTGTTCTAATGTGTGCATTCCCTATTTAGCGTTTGAGAATTTATTTTAGTGGAAGGTCTGTTTCTAATCAATTAAGATCAAAATACCATGACTGACAGAAGCTGCCAAAATCTGATGAACATGACACAAAGTAAAAAAGTTTATGCTGTTTCTGAATATTTTCATTTTACTGCATCTATATATTTTCAGGCATAACCGTAGTATAGATATTAAAAATCATCATTATAAGATAAAAAATAAAATAAAATCATACAAAAAATCTTCCAAGTAAAATGTCATAAAAACTGTTAAATAAAAATAAAATTTCATAGTTGACAGTAAAAGAAATTAAATTTTAAAATTTGCAGTAATAAAAAATTAAATTAAAATGTTAATTTTGGCAAACCAAGAGGAATTTAGGCCGCTCATTTGAATGCATTTGCATTCACCTACACAATATACTCATATTGTGGCAACTTGTAACAAAAAAAAATAAAAATTAATAAGAATATAAATGCAATTCAAAGTAAATTTAAAATAAATTTAAAAAATATTTTTAAGCAAAAAAATAAATTAAAACACATATTAAAAAAAATAATATATTTCAGACAAGTAATTTATTATACATAAAACAGTATTGCATAAAAATCGTATTAAAATAAATATGAACTGGTTCTACGAAAATATTTACGATATATATTTAACGGAGTAACGATTAATGCGATGTTGAGATACTAACTGCTAAAAGCATATTCCCTTAATATTAAATTAGCCGGTAAACTATAATTAAAATATTTTCAAATAGAAATGCACACAGAATCTTCTAATTTTACAACATATAATAGAAGTAATAATGAAAATTAATTTCTTTAACTACATCTCTGGAAACAGAGATGTAGAGATGTAGTTTATAAGTAATTTGCTCATATATAATGTTCAGTTCATCTATCCAACTTATAATGCTGTGTTATGAATGTCCAAGTACCTATTTAGAAATTAAAGCATCCATAATAAACGACTAGCTATAAGTGTAACTAACAATAAGTTTAGATCTATTTATATTTATACAAATTATATATATATTAAAAAATATAAAGACATGATAAAAATTTTATTTTAATAAATTTCTTTTTACTGTATATATATATATATGTCAAAGTAACTCGCTATTTTCATTCAATATATATTTTTTTAATTTTTAAAATCTAAACAACTTAGTATTCATTTTTCTTTTTAATATTTCTAAATTCTCACCTCTTTATGTCTTAACTTTTTTAAAATGTCACTTAGAATGAGTCAAAGTAGCCCACTATACTTTTTATAAACAATACATTAATTATCTTGGATATACATCTATGTATCTATTTGTTTGAGTATTATAAGATAATTAATCTTTTTGGCCTGCTTTTAAAGACACAATATATACTTTAGAACTATTTTTACCTTTTAAAAATACAAACAACAATAGCAACAATTAGGGTTCTCGTGATATATCGGAGGAGATTGAAAAAATTTCTAATGTTTACATTAGCACATTGAGACCTAATAATGGGAAACGAATTAACTTCAAGTGTCTGATTCACAAGTTTTACTTGTAATTCCAAAAGACAGCAGTTGTGTTGGTGGAATACATATAAATGGAATACTATAATTAGAAAAATATGTGCTGAACACATTACATTTTGGACGACATTTAACATCATTAAACCCATAAAGCACCAAAAGTCCTGATGCAATGAATTTAACTTTTTATAGAAGACTTAATACAGAAAAATAAGTGTACTGAACCTATACAGATGGAGCGGTATATACATATATACAATAAAAATAAAATAAAAACAAAAACAAAAAAATAAAGATAATGATAAAAATAAGTTAAAGATAAAATAAAGAAAAAATAAGAAAAAAGAAAGAAAAAATAAAGATAATATAAAGAAAAAATAAAATAAAAGTAGAATAAAAATTAAATAAAAGTTAAATAAGAATTAAATAAAAATAAAATAAAAAAAATTAGAATAAAATAAAAAAACAAAAAAAGAATAAAATAAAATAAAATATATATATAATATTATGAATCAAGAAGAATAAGCAATACACAAATATTGTGCAGCCTTAGTTACTTGTGGAAAAACTCGATCATCGCTTCTAATTTGACAGACACGAGTTCTAAGCGTGGCATTTGCAGTCCAAACAAATTATATACGGGCTATAAACTATTTAAAAAGAAATTAGAATATTTTCTAAGACCTAAGATGATGAGTATTTGGCATATATAAATATAAATAAAATAAAAATAGGAATAAAAATATTAGAAAAATAAAAAATATTGTTAATAAAAAAAACCTAGAAATATTACCAAAAAAAAAATTAACAACAAATAACAGAAATAAAATAAGAAAAAAAAATTAATATAAATAAAAATAAAAAAAAATAACATAAAAAAAAATAAAAAAAATAACATAAAAAAAAATAAAATAAAATAAATAAAATAAAAAAATAAATTTATAAAAAATAAATTTAAAAAAAATAAATTAAAGATAAAAAGATAAAAATAAAATAAGATAAAAAAATAGATAAGATAAGAAATAGATAAGATAAAAAAATAATAACAATAAAATAAATTTAAAACACCTAGTAAATTGGATTTAATTTGAAAGGGGTTAAGTACGTCAAATTTTAGCTAAAGGATATCCATACACACAATGATTCAATTATGATTTTGGCACGACATTTGCAAAGTAAAATAAGAAACATCTTCATTTATATTTAAATAAATATTTATCATAGTACTAATAGCACACAAAAATATATTATTATTATTTTTATAAAATATATGTACTCAATGCACATAAGAGAAATATTTCAAATCACACAACAAGAAACTGTCTAATTTTTATCATTATAAATAATATTTAATTTATGATTTAATAAAAAGTAATAAGTAAAGATAAAGTAGAAATAATTAAATTAAATTTTATTTCTTCAGCTTCTGAACGTATACGATAATTGTGACCGCTGTCAGCCATTATTTAAACTCTGACTAACGTTCCTACTCATTTCGCTCTACATTGTCTAATTCAAATAAAATTAAAATAAAATTTAAAATCACTGAAATGCAAGCGTTGGGCTCGTAGTAAAATTGGCAAAATTCCTGTAAACAACGCTGGCATTAGTTGTTATTGTTTAATATTGTATATAAAAAAATGTTACAGTATACATTTTTTTTTTTTATTAATTTTAATTAAACAGTGTTTGTGCATTTTCCGAGTGAATTGCAAATATGGACGCTACTGCAACCACACGTATGTACGATTGCAGAGCACATAAATCTGATGCTTACTCAGCATCTTAAATTCGAAACAGCATCAAAAGCGTATGAGGAGCTATACGCGACTGTGGGTGGTGGATGATGGGCAACATCAAAATAAAATGATCATATCACACGAATACAAATATCTAATTTTGTGCTACTCACTCGTCGTCAGAATAGAAAATATCTTTAAGAATTATTGTGAAAATTAAAAACAAAAAAAAAAAAATTTTTTTAATAATAATCAGTATCACATGTTGCCTCTGTTTTCTGTTGCGTCTATTAGGGATTTTTGCTATTGCCAGCATTTGTCATTCTCTGTTCGGTTTAAAGTATAAATTTTACTTTTAATAGCCGCTAAAATTAAATCAATTCAGCTAAGTTACCTAAAAGTAGCACCTTAACAACAAATACAGAAGCGAATTTGTGCACATTTCGTTGTCCGCCAGTAATTGCAGCTGTCGGAGAGGGCGCTATTAAAATTATAGTAATTTTTTGTTTGGCACGGAAGCATGTTGTCAGCAAAAATTTTATATAGAAATGATGGAATAAGTAGCTTAAAGCAAAATTAAGTTAGTTTTTATTATTATTTTTATTTTATTTTTTTTTCATTTATATATAGGAAACAACAAACAATATATAATAAAAATGTATACACGTAATTATAATATTAATTTTTTGGATGTTGCTTCTTAAAAGTTTAGTAAAAGAAACTGCATAAATTAAATTAAAAATAGCAATAATAATATATCAATTATTTTTAAGTCAATAAAATAATTTTGTTGCTTAAATTATTTGTATGCATGATTAATTACTAAATTCACCAAAAAATTTAATTATTAATGAGAAAAAAGTTTTAACAATTAACGCTACTTTAACACTTCAATATTAACAAAATAACAAATTCATCACTAACTAAAATAAAAGTAAGTAAAATGATTGATCTCTGTCTCATCGTTGTTAACTATAGTTAAACTAAATAAGTTATACATAACATGGTTTGATATCAAGATTTGATGTCATTATTATAACGACACATACCAAACAGAACTGTAATCCCAGAGTTATATCTATGTTTAGCTTAAGCTTAAAATTTAAAAATCTATTCTATTCAAAACAGATAACCGATAAGTGATCACCGAACACTATCGTCTAAAGAAGCATATAGTGTGGGTAGAACTTTCGTAGAACTCTTCGAATGAAGATTATGTATAATATAGGATGCACAGAAACATTATTACATATCCTTGAAGAATAGGAAAAGAAGTTCCCACATAGAACTATTTCAAGCATCAGAGTAGTCAAACATCGATTTGAAATGAAAGAACTGCTTTAGGAATATACATAGGGCAGCAAACAATAGTTCATCAATGGACAAATGGCAGTGACACGAACAGCCAATGTTCCAGTCTACCAAATACTAAATTGTGACTTATGCTACATAATAATATATTTTAAATCTATGTTTAGCTGAAAACCTTTGTTGTGGCTTAAAACTGTAACCTTAATTTCAACTATAAGTTCCTGTTAAATTTGAAAAAGGGCAAAAAATACTACCGCTCCATATTGCACTTTAGCAATATGGCGGCTTTTAGTGATTAAAATAAAAATATGTAGATACTACGCGTATCTCACAGATCGTTCATTATCATTTTATATTGCAAGTTATAAAAGCCATTTCATTGAACAATTATTAAAAAATATAATTTTTTTTAATTGTTTATTGCATATATTTTTGGCATATAATAACAAATTTTATCAGATATGCGGCAACATAAAAGTGATCTTTACTCGAAGCAATTATCAGTCAATGATATTTATTTGAAATGTGAAGTTTTCACAATGCTTTCAATTTCTAATCTCATTGACACTTTGGCAGTCGTTGCCAACTTTCACTATTACTGGATAAAGTATATAGTTAAATGTGTTTAAAGAAAATTTTCACAGCCGAACGGACACAAATTAGAGCCGGAAAACATATTAAACGCATTAAAAGTATTCAAAGCATTTGACAAAAAAGGCAAATAAAATATTTGCTTGACAGCAAGTAACATTTTTGTTATGTTGGCAACACTCCAACTAATTTTATTTAAGTTATGGGAATGCAGCAACAACAACAACAACATAGTAATATCATACATGGGCTGAGCTTACAAAACTTCATACACAGGAAATTAGGTTTGAACAGGAAATGCATTTTTGTACTAAAAGAGAACTAATATACAAAAATGTGTACATAAATTTGCATAAAAATTAATTAGTATTGTGATTGATTTTCATAAGTTATTAATAATTATATTAATTAAATAAAAATATTTTTTTATATAATTTTTCATATAAATGTTTTTTTATATAAATATTTTTTTTTTATATAAATCGTTTTATAAACAATTTTAAATAATTTGATAACATCTATCAAAGTTTTCAAGTGTATGAAATATTTAAATATTTCATTAAATATAAAATATTTAATATGTAAATATATATATTTACATATAAATACGATATTGCTTACATATAAATACAAGATATGAACTATCAAAAAATCATAAAATCCACCTGAATGCTAAAATTCTAATTCTTACATATAGACACAAGATATGAACTATCAAAAAATCATAAAATCTTATGCATTGAGTTAAAATCATCTTAAGAAGCATAATAAATCTCTTATTCACAGTTGTTTAAAAGATATTTAAAAAAAATTAATACACTTTTCTACTTTATAATAATTTTAACATAAAAATATTTCATTTCAAATTTTTCAAATATCAATTAAACTAAATAAAATTACTAAAACATTGCCAAATACTTTGATTATGAATAATTCTAAATAATTTATATTAACATTTGTAAAAATGTTTCCACTTTTAACAATGTTAAATATTAAATATAATAAAAGCATATTATATATTTAATTTAATATAAAAAATCTTTTTGAATATAAACTATGAAATATATTAAAATTTATTTATTTGTTAAATAGTTTTTATAAATTTTATATATAACAAAATAGATCAGAAATATTTTTAAATTCATAATGCATATAAAATTTGAAATAATTTTGTTAAAATATTTTTTAAAAATTAAATTTAATTGAATTAATTTGTCATTGTCATCAAAAAAATGTGCACTTTATGTAAACTAACAAAAATATCATATACGAGTAATAAAATAATATAGGATGTCTTTCTTTTCGACATATGAAAATTATAAAAAAAAAAATTAAGTACACAAATTACAATCTTATATAAATATTCAAATTTTTTGAAATAGTAATAGTAATATTATAACATCTACATATATCAACTATAATATTGTGCACTTACTGTAATATATTTATTTCTAGGCCTCAATGGTAAGCAAATATGAAGAGACTAGCCGTGTAATATAACTTTTTAATTAAATTTTGTTGTTATTATTACAACATTATTATTTCATTATTAATATCATTACTTTAGAACTGAACTACATCATGTAGATCACATGGGAGACAATAGACGCACCAGAACAATTCTTGAATGTAGACTTAGAAAAGATAAAAGAAGAATTGAGATAGAAGCAAGTAATTGTATAAACCTAGTTCAGGTAAGAGCAAAATGGTAGCGTTTAGGTATAACATATGTTCAGCAATAATGAATAAAGAATGAATGTGTACGAGTCTGGGCAATAAATGCATTTTAAATACTTTATAAAAATGTGAGTTCTTAAAATTTGTGGTACAAAGACCGACCAATTTTCACACACTTTGCAAATAAGGCAAGTACTATAAATTACACATCAAAATTTTATATCCAATTTATTATTTATCCTTGTTATTGTGTCATCTCTCAAGTTTCGTTATACGTATGAGAATATAGTGCATATGTGTTAAAGAAAGGACTTCATAAAATAAATGAACACAATCAAGTAAGCGAAGAATTAAATTGTTTGGCAGCTTAATCTATATAAAACTTTGAAGTAAATAAATTTACACAGTCAAGCAAATGGAGAATTAAATTGTTCCTGTGTATCTCTCGATATGAACTTTAACAGTATATAGTTAAAAGCTCATATACAAAGTTTTATTATTATTTATTTATTTAAATAAACAACTTACCTTCTTTTTGTCTCTCATAGATCCCTTTCCTCGAACCATAATTTTACAACCAGTCTCTTGTTCCAATTGCTTAGCTGTCATTCCGCGTGGTCCCAATATTCTGCCCACAAAGTTGAACTAAAATAGAAAACGAAAATATTTTAAATAAATTATATAAAATTTAAAACTTTAAAATATATAAAATTTAAAACTTTAAATTTTTATGAAGTAGTTTAAAATAAAAACAATATTAAAATTAAGTCAATTTAAATTAATATTTAAAAATAATTGCTGAATGTTATTTAAATTTTACTATATTTAAATTTCAAATATTTAATATTTTATTATATTTAAATTCAAATATTTAAAAATTGCTAATTTAAAAATAATTTAAATTTCTATCTAAAATTATTGATATACTAAATTATATAAAGTACATGCAAAAATAAAACATAATTCATAATTATATGGATTAAATAAAAATATTTTTTTTATATAAATATTTTTATAAACAATTTTAAATGTTTATGTATGAAATATTTAAACACATATAAATGCGATACAGATGGATATTGCTTATTTATATACTTTCAAAACGTATTTAGCAATAATAATTCCTATAGAATTGAGTCAATCCTATTAAAATGTGGGATACCATGGTACTTGCACCATGTGGATATTTACTTGTAAGTAATTATAATATTAAAAATGACTAAAATATTAGGAATATAGAAAAGTGGTTGAATAATAAATTGAAATAATATTTTTTAATTTTATATATTTATTTATAAATTATAAACATTTATAATTATAATTAAATACAATTATTATTCCAAGACCAATGATGATGGGTATTTGGCAATACTTGAAACAGCTGTATTGTCAGCCAACAATTCAATTAATTAAAATAATATAAAATGAATTCTTGTTGTTGTAGTTCACTACTGTTCTAAAAATCTCTATATATATTTATTTTATTTTATATTTTTACCTAATTAGTGCTTAATATATAATATTCGAAAAAATATTAAATTACAAATTAATATAATATTAAATTTAATAAAATATTTAATCTTCTAAATTATTTACAATTATAAAGTATTTAAAGTTAATAACATACTTTATATAAATATTAAAAAATAAAGATTATAACGAAATCTTTTGTATTATAAGAAAAATCTTATTTCTTGTACTTATCATGGCAATCAATGAGCTCAGCGCCAGACTCAATATTTCAAGGTTCTCAAGTAGAAGGTTTCTGCATGCTTGACTCATGGAAAACTGTCAAATTAACTTGTCAAAGTTTAAAGGCATAAAGTTTAAATTATTACAAAACGTATTTGATGTATTGTAAGAAAAATTTACATTGAATAATAAAAACAAAAGAAAAAAAAAGAGTTAATAAAATACCAAAACAATTCTTGGTAAGCAAATGATACAAATTGATTCAATAATTGCACGCTGCGAAAGGTGGAAAATCACACACGATCAAATGGAAGCAAAAATACCAAAAAATGCCTAAAGCGACACGCCTCGTAATGGCACGATAAACCAATCAAATACACATATAAAAACAATATCTTTTTAATCATTTTTAATAAAAATGTTTTAAAAACAAAAGATACACATAAATCTTATATACAAAAAAAAATAAAATAAAAAAAAAAACAATAAAATAGTAGCAATATACAAAATTGCATGAGTGTGATTGCTGTTTAAAGACGAGCATGCAAATCTTGCTGTTTAACCTATGACAAAAGCTTCAATGCATCAACGGCAACATGCAGTAAATCATCAGTTCGTTACTGCTAGTTTTCAGATTATGCAGCGTGAACTGCACATGCACCTAAGATTTGCCATTAATGACAACACTACGTGTCTGTGATCATCAACGAATCTACTGGAGTGCATAATTCACACATCGGCAATCGGGGAAAACGTTGCCGCATGTGTTGATGGATTGATGATTTGTGGTCGTTATTGAGGCTGGCAGAAAGTTCAACTGTTGTGTTTTTAGTTGCCGATATTTATACTTAAAACTAAATAATCAAATGTTAAATATAAAAATAAATTTTATTACCCTTAAGTTCAAATCAGAAGGCCCTGCTTGAAATAATTTCATATTTATTACTAAAACCTAAAACTGTAGCAATTTTGAAATTAACAATATAAAATTCATGATAATTAATTGAAATCGACAAGATAATATAAAGTATACGATCAATCAAATAATAATTAATGCATAACAGTTAAGCATTGAAGGCATAAATAAAAAAAAATTAATTGCTGTTAACAATTAAAGTTGTAAAAGGAGTTGTAATTAATAATATTATAAAACTAATTTTATTGTTTTCTAGAAAATTAATTAAAACCAATTGAGTGGGTGGATGTTATGGAACCGTAAAATAAATAAATCAAGAAATTTTATTAATATTTTAAGCTAATTTTTATCTCTATCATTTATTATTGATTTGCATAATGTGTAAAAAGTCAAAACTTTATTTATCTTAAGTTTTAATCAATCATACAAAAAACAAAATAATATTCATACAAATATATCATGTTAATAATGCAATTACCAGCAATTATTTTCGGTTACATTCCAGTAATATAAAAAATATTTTTATTTTAGGTGTATCTATATGAAGTCATTTAAAATGTTAAAGTCAAATTTGTAGTAATAATATAGGCTTGGCAAACACTACTATTCGCCAGCCAGAAATTGCACAAAGCCAGGCTTTGAGAAGACTTTTCAGGGTAATAAAAAATTACTAACAGGCTTACCAACACCGCGTTATCAAATCTCAGAATGGTTACAGGCTCCTTGGGAAGGTATGCAGATCTGAGATTAATTACTGATTAATCTGCTTAAAGTAATAAACAATAATCCAATCAAGGCGTAGAAAGGAATTATGAAACAAGCTCACAGTTAATAGAGAGTAAAAGTGCTTAAATGCACTGCCTCAACTAGCCCCAACATAATATAGGCTTGGCTTGATTATTGACTAAAAACGAAGCTACACTAACAGAACTGCGTTCGCAGGAGAATCCTATTAATAATCAGGTATAGCTAATACACTCCACCGTATGTTATACAAGTAAAATAGCTTGTATTCAATTAATGGATTATTGCTGCATAAAAGATCTCTAACGGCCTAGTACTCTGGCCCAATAAGCGTCATTGTCTAATCTAATCCAAAATTTTATAGTCTCAGAAAGCTAAAACATTTTTATGATAAATTTGTTGAGCAGATGTAAAAATATTTTTAAAGGCTTATAACTTTTTAGAAAATTCTATATGAATTCATTATTCAATACAATCATTATATTAATATTATATACAGTAAATAAACTCTATGCGAAAAACGTAGGCTTCGAAATACAATATAATGATGTATATTAATTTATTCTTGAAATATTTATAGATCGTAAAGTGATCGATCGCCAGTAGTGAACAAAAATTGCACGAAACATATAGTTTTAGAATCTATATTTTTTATAGACCATTTAATTAATTTTATTAAAGAAAAGTGAAAGACGTTTCTTTAAGATTATCCTACTTCTGTTATTCATGATGCTTATGTATAGCACATTATGTTACAATATCTTCATTTTTTTTATATACATAGTTATTTAATTAATAAAATTAATAAAATAATTAGAATCATAATATTTTTATAAAAAATATATGGGTCTTTAATAAGACTGTATATCCATAATTAATATAAGAAACCTTAAGCATTTTTAAAATAATATTTTTTACAATTTGTAAAGTGTATTTTAATTTTATTAAAAGCAATAAAAATTTAAAAACGTGTGTAAAAATCATAATTAGTTTGTTAAGTAAGAAAACTGTGACATAAATAAAATATACATACGAGTATATGCATATATTGTAAGTATATTCTATTGCATTCTACTAATTGACAATTTTAAAATGAATTAGTTTAACAAATGACCGACAACGTAGCTATTGACAGTTAAAATAGCAAATAAATTAACGCAACAATAGAGATAATTGTTAATAATAAATTAGAAATGTTACTTCAAATCCGCATATGTACAACAGTAAGAAATTATATATAATTAAAGTATGAAATCAACTGGTATAGATCTAATTTCAGTAGTAAACTCATATTGTATATCGACGAAAGATTATTTTATAGTAAAAATTACTTCAACCACCCACCATGATTCAAGCAATGACCCTGTGGTGACGTGATCTACACTTATGCTGTGTGATGATTACGTACCACAGACTAATTTATTGCAGCAACTATAACAACAAGTATTTATAGCAGTGAAAATGTTGCAAATGTTGTTGAAAACAACAAAAATATATAAACAAACAAGTAACCCCATTGGGCAAATGTTCACATAAAAATAACAAACTTATTAAGATCGTTAGATACTCGTTTAAAGTTCAAAGAAAAAAGTTATTGAACTGGACAGAATAATGATTAAATCAGTTTTAAAATGGAAGCAATTTTTGTGAGTTTTATTAAGTTGAAATTTTCGACCTATTTAAAATTTCCGAAAAGTATTTTAAATAAAATATAGTTAGACCTCTGTACGAAAATAAATGCAGGTGTGAAAAAGTGTGTGATAGGGTAAAATTAATCATTTACAAAAATTTTGGCGTAACATATGTCAGTAATAAATTAATTCAAATAATTTTTATTTTACACAAACAGATATATTTATATTTTTTTAAAAGCGAAAATTTTTTCGGAATAAAAAAAATCTTTAAATCTATATATATAAAAGAAAGTTGTGTTAGTTACACCACTTATAACTCAAGAACGGCTGAACCGATAGGATACTTTTTATCCCGTTCGACAGCATTCCCGCGTGACTTGACATGAAACGTCAGTGGTGAGAAACGACAAAGTAGGTTTTGAAATTATCAAATTTTTGATATAAGAAAATATTTTATTAAAATTTAACAGATAAAAATATAACTTAGTTAATGTGTTTTCTGTCTGGCGATTTCCGCCAAATACTGCCAGTAATTCCAAGATCTACGGCTGCCGACGAAATAAACGCTTGCCTCAAATCGTCAAATCTATGGCGCTATGTGAAGAAACTGCAACTGACAACAAACATGAGAGTTACATTGCTTAATGATACATCTGCTG